TTTAAGCTATAAGAACAGTTAGCAAGAAGCCTGCCACGGCCATACAGTTTGTAAGCAATATAAGTCTCTGTGTTTACTTGGTTGGGTCTGAGCAGGTGTGGGACTGGCGGGTGACAGAGATTTGTCCTGACTGTGGGCCAGGCAGGAAAACTCTAGCTACAGATAACCATGCAGCTGACATCTTGAAAACAAAAGTGTAAACTGTCTTACCTTAATAAATGTACAATGCCACCATGTGTACTGTTAAAGTAAAAGGATGGGATACAGACCTCAAACCCACCACCACCATCATCATCATTTTTGAAGATGTATTCTTATTTTTATGTATATGAATTTGGCCTGAATATATGTATATGTATTGCATGTCTGTCTTGTGCCCACAGAGGACAGAAGAGAGTGCTGGACCCCTGGAACTGGGGTGACAAGTGATTTTTAAGCCACCACCTGGGTGTTAGGAACAGAACCCAGGTCTTCAACAAGAGCAGCCAGTGAGTGCTCTTCCTGGCTGAGCCAACTCTCCAGCCTACTGTCAAATTTTTGTATAGATATCACAAATTCTAGTGTATTGCTTCAAAGCTACCTCCATGTTTTCATTAAGAAAGAAAACTAGCTTTGGCATGTCAACACTGTATAAATAAATGGACTTAAGCACTCATACAGCTAATTAATTGAAACAGTGAGGTATATGATTATAACACTAAGAAGAAAAAGAAGTCCTCAGCAAAACAGCCACTGGTATATAGACCACAGAAGATGTTAATTCAAAACAAACAGCCATCTAAATATACAGGAAACTTGGAGAAATGTTGATGCTAGAACTTTCCTTTGGGTTGAACCTTCTAGAGCTGACTCTGGAAGTCACTTGGCCCCAAATACAAATATGGGCAGGGCAGAAAATTCTATTCATAGAATATTTCCAATTGGCCTTATGTCTTTTCTGATTGTGTACCAGCAACACATTCACAAAAGACCATCTGATAGCACGTCTGGTAGCTAAGCTGCTCACACTGCAGCGCACTGGCAAGGAACTCCAGCAGACAGGCCAGTAAGCCCAGCCTGGACCAGAAGGTCTTCTTTAAACATAATCTGTGATAACTTCTCTGCTCAAGTCAAGAAGCATCTGAAAAGTTGATTATGAGGATTTGGTGAATATCAAAAAGGCTAATATATGGAAGGCTCCTGAATGACCTTTCCTTAAGAACTACCAGAGACAGATGAACTCTGTTTCCAAGAACTGTGGAAAAGTTTCTCTGAGCAGGATTCCAAGAGTAGCTAAATTAGATGGAATATTGTTGTCGATATTCTGGAGACTATAGGCTGCTTTCTTCTCTCTCAAATCTATTTTACTATTGACCAGGCAGAAACCAGGACCTCACATATCCAGGCACTTTCCATTCTGAATAGCAGTCTTGGCTGTTCTAAAATACAGGCGCACTGATACAAGTCATGGCTTGAAGCACTTGTGTTACAATCATCTAAGGATGGGACTTCCTAACAGAAAAGACTCCTAAGAAAATAGTGGAATCTAATGGAGTAACCTGGTCCCACAGTCCTCCGCCATCTACTCTAATGCTAAGCCACTCACGTATTGCAAACTCACTAAGATATCTCTGGACTTTTTTCTTCTTCACAAATAAAAAGTTACCCAAAACATTGTGAATTGGTATCACTAGTGTCCATCAAAACCCCATCCAAAGTAATTTTACATGCTGCATATGATTGTAAATCTCCCATCCAGAGAGCAACCAAAAACACTTTTCTGGACAGACATCTGCCTCTGCCTTGGTGTCTTGAGTTCACTGGATTGCCAGCCCACACCATCCTCCGCTTCATATTCAGAACCTATCACACTACCCAGAACACAATAGATGCTCAAAAATATAAATGGCTACCATTCTGCTAATTTATATTGCTTCATTCTTTCTAATATTACTTAGTTAAATCCCAACTTTGAAAGTTGAATTCATTTGGTTCAGATCAAAGAAGAGATGGAACAATGCAGGCTGTGAGCCAAGTCATAACTAATAGCAAAATTATAGGTGGAACTCAGTAAGTCTACTGGTACACCATATTATAGTATGGCATTGTATGATATGGTATGGTATAGCATAGCATAGCATAGCATAGCATAGCATAGCATAGCATAGCATAGCACAGCATAGTGTAGTATAGTATGAACCATCCAATAGATTCCGTAGCTCAACCCTATTTCTGTATGTACAAATATTAATGGATATCATAGTTACAATTACTATTTTAGGTTATCAATAAACTAACAGGTGCTCTACATTGTTATAAACTTGATTGCTTTTCATATGGCTTTTGACAGTTTCCATATATATAGAAATATATATATATACATATATATATGTACATATATCTCTGTGTGTGTGTGTGTGTGTGTGTGTGTGTGTGTGTGTGTGTGTGTGTGTGTGTGTGTGTGTGTGTGTGTGTGTGTGTGTGTGTGTGTGTGTGTGTACACATACATAAGACTGTCTTCTACTTCTTGGAACTCTGTCTCTCAAC